CCCCCTCCCCCCCCCCCCCCCGTTACTCCGTTCGCGTTCCCCCGGTTCTCCGTCCCGGCGCCAGTCCTACGGCCTACCGGTGCCGCCACCGAACGTGGACTTGTCCGGAAAGGTTCTCGCCGTGCCCCGGCCGAAGGGGAGAGCGTACATGCACCGCACGGGCGCTGTCTTCGTGCGTGTCGCCCCCGGGGGACTGGTGCTACTTCCGAACGTGCACTGGCGCGACAGCGGAGAGGTACGTGTGCGTGCTAGTAGTTGCCGTTTCGGTTTTGTTGCTTTGTTGGCGGTTCTCTTGTTTTTTGTCGTCGCTGTGGAGATTGTATCCTTTTTGGGAGGCGATCTCCACGACGCTGATATGAACCGAGGGAATAGACCTCGACAAAGACGTTGGGCAGATTCTACCCTTTTTTGAGGGTGACGAATGTCCACATGGCCCGTTTTCTTAACAACGCTGTCTTCATCGCTGCGCTTGTAATGTACAATGCACGGAACGGGACATGGGAAACCGCAACAAACCGCCAGCACGCGGATCAGCCGCCGGGACGAAACCGCCAGCTTCAACGGCGACTGAGAGACACCCTTAACAACTTGGTGGTGGTGACACACAACGCCCAAGCGGCAGCGACCAGCGTGATCAGCGAGGCCGTGGACAACGTGTTGAACCACATCGCGGCCACGTGAAAACCACGAGCAAGGACCGCGCAGTACACAGCAGTAGTCTCATCAATAACTCCATGCTCGCGTCTTGGGGCAAGTGCGTAGCTTGGGAGAGAAAGTTGGAGGGGTCTACGTTGTGGGAAGCAACTTTGATGACACGTAGCTGATGTAGGGGTCTCGCGTTTGGGAGGCACAACTTGCAAGCGGAACATGTCTTGCGGGATATAGACTGTACACCAAGATGTTGCACGAGTGTGTGCATAGATTTGAATGGTTTGCTTCGGGTCGTTTTTTCTGTGTGAAATTTGTAGATTTTTTGTAGGTTCCCAGAACGGGGTACTGACCAAACACGTTGTTGTTTGTGCACGAGGGAACAGCAATCTGCGGCCCCTCCGATATTCGCTTCCATGGGGCATGCGCTGCGGCTGCCTCATCCTGTTTCGTTGTACAAATGGCGTTGGCACCATGGGTTTCGCCTTGTATCTTGTGCTTGTTGTGTATGTTTGTCACAAGTTAAATAGTTGGTTGCAACCAACGAACGCCGTTTATTTACACCTCAGTGTTTTGAGAAGAATTCTCCTTTTTTGGTCGGGTGCTTCGTTCTGTTGATTGATTAGTCTGGGTGCGTCGCGAATGCAAATTAGACGTTGGCTTGTGAGACGATCGTGTATTGGCCTTTGTTTTTTCCTTCAGTGCCACAGCAGTGTGCGTAGCGCCTGCCTACGGCTTAGCAGCATTTTCCCCTCGTCATGGTATTATTATTCCCAAGATAATGGTAGATATTTATGGTCTGACGATGCTGCTTGAGACTGACTGCAACTCATTTATTTGTAAATCGTGCACCGCGGACCAGAAGATGAAAAGACGAGGGTGACAAACCCTACAAATGTTCCTAAGCTCATGTGGGGCATGATTTTCGGATTTCCCTGGAAAAGAAGTGGAGTGTCACAGCTAGCACGTTCCGCGGACAAGACCGTTGCTTTTTCTCCCTAATAAGTCAGAGTGAGTGAGTTATCTGAAAAGGAGGAACTCATGAAGTGATCGGAGCATTTGCTTCCCTTCCCCGCTCCACGACCAAGCAAGGCAAAATGGCGTTCTTCCTTGACTATACTCCTTCCCCCCCCCCTCTCCCCACCCCGGTTGCTCTAGCTTTTGTTCGTTTGTGGTTGGTTGTATTCGTGGCACGCCCACTACATCGTGCGTAAATCTCGGCAGGTGGGGTTGTTGCTCCTCTTTAGTTGGCGCCAACGCGTGAACATGGTGGGGAGGGGGGGGGCGTACTCTTATGTTTTGCATGCCTTAGCGGTTAGACCATTGACCACGCGTCCTCGAGAGGACGGAGCATTGTTCCCACAGGACCGATCACCGATGGCCAATCGTTCCTTCCTACTTTGCCAAAGGTGGCTCAAAAATGTCTTCCCTAAGTCTGTCTATCCGAACGATATCCCTTCCCGCCTTTTCAAACCACTTCCTACTCCCCAGTACAGCTACCGTCCTCTCCTCTCTATTCCATGCCTCAAACATCTCGCTGTACGTCCCTTGTATTTTTCCCAGCTCAGTCATGTACATTTCCCTCTCCGTATTGTACAGCCGACATTCCGCGACTACATGAAAACGGTCTTCGCATTCGAAGCCGCAATCACATTTGAACTTGTCGTCTTCGTCGTCTACCGTCCTATGTCTTCGTCGACGTTCTCGAAGGGCTACGTCCCCGGTCCTGAATTTGACCTTAAGCTTTGTCCCTGCATCCATTGGTCCATGTAGGTAATCCTTGAACCCTATTCCTTCTTTCAACATTCCGTATACTTCTAGACCCTCCTTATCCTTGGTTTCTTTCCTTAGATTATGTTCTTCTCTCTCAGCACAAGCAACAGATATCTTCTCCTTGAACCCCTGTAGACCCTCCGTTTCCAGCGTTTCATCTTCGTCGATGTCTAACGTGAACATGGGGCGGGGGCTGAAAGAAAACACAACGCGTTGCAAGGGGAGCAGCATCTGGGGCGATCAGCTCGATATTGAATTACATGCGGTTTCCGTAAATTGTGCGAAGAGTCCGTCCAAAGACAGATCAGATGTGTTGGTAAGATAAATAGTTTTTTCTGCGGTTATCCGCCCACCCACCCATGTGTTGGCAAAAAAGTCAGTCAGTCGTTTACTCGGGTGTGTCTTTATTATTAGCATCGACCGCGCTAACCGGCTGACCAATGAAAAGGCGTCAGTCTTAAAAACGAAACACTTCTATCTGCCATGAACTGGGACCCGGTGAGGGTTCAGCATGGGGGAGGCTAAACTATCCTCCGGATCAAAGACAGCAACGGAAGTGTGTGTGATGAAAGCCGTCTTTTGTACAAGTCTCGCCCTTCAGCTTTCTGTTGCGGCGAGTGTGAAATCCATTGACAATTACAATCTGTATGTACTCTGTGTGCATATCATCCAAAAAAAAATCTTGAGGCAAGCGCGAAAGCTCAAGGAAATATGCACAAGAGCAACCGCCGAACCCCAGAACCTGTAATCATGTCGAGAGAGATCGATCGTCCGTCTGAGAGATAAACCTAACACAATATTTATTACGCTACAACCAAACGTTTAGTCCATCACACACAGCAGTAGTAGGACAACCCCAACATTGGAATACACGTAGGACCTGGACTGCGCACTACTACTGCCAATCGCTTTGTTAAGTACAGCATTGAGTGTAGACTATAAGAGAGTTTGCATCTTGTCGGTGCATCTCCTGAGAATCCTGTTTCCCCTCTCGCAGTCCCCTCTTCTATAAATTCAACGGTTGATATATTAAACTGTTCAACCCATCTCGCCGCCTGGGTTGCGGCCGGCGCTGCTGGTCTAGTTGGCTATGATTCTACCTTAGGGTGGTAGAGGTCGGGAGTTCGAATCTCCCGTAGCGTCGATTCTTTTTTCCGCGGTATAACTTTTGAACTTTTGCTTCGTCTTGTCTTAATAACAACCAACCCTAACCCTAACCCTATATTCCAAGCTCGTTGTTGGGTCCCATCTTGACCTGATGAGCTTCTTATATATGCATTTGTCCTCCACCCATAACGTGCCAACTTTATGCTCGACCCTATCGGCTTCAGCATTGCGTGTGCTTCCCTACATATGTCGAGGTTTCCCCAAGTTTCCCAGCCAACAATATACTACGACCGCACCTCGATCGGTCTCCCTCTCTGTTGGCAACTTGAGAGCCTCAAAATTTATGGTGGTGTGATGACTCATCATGAAAAAGCCTGATTTCTGGGTTTCATCGCCGCCTGGGATGCGGCCGGCGCTGCTGGTCTAGTTGGCTATGATTCTACCTTAGGGTGGTAGAGGTCGGGAGTTCGAATCTCCCGTAGCGTCCCCAAGCCCCTTTTGCGAAAAACGAGGTGAATGGACCTTTTTGCACTCTTCGAAGGTTAACGGCAAGGAATTTTATTTTGTTCGTGCTTTGGTTTTGTGGAGCAATTGGCGAGCTTGAATTCGTTCTACGGAGGCTATGTGCTATGTGCGATGCCTCACTCATATCTCACATCTATACGGCAATAATGTAACTCAGGCCCCACATAAGGCTATGCTCACACCGCCCCGGTTCTCCTCTGCTTGTCGGACCACGCTTTTCAACATGTCGTGGGCATAGAAAATCTATTCTAGTTTTTCACCGCGACCCGAGGTGAAGGCTTCGTTTTTTTTTTTTTATCCGTAACTGAGCCAACAGATGTAGCGGAGATCTGTGCGCGCCTGCGGCGTGCATTTTTCAACTGCTCGACTGCCGGGACCGGCCGGCGCACTGAGTTTCGCAAGGGAAGCACCAACCACGCGGGAGGCGTATAACAGGTTGGTTCGGCGTTCATGGTCTTGTGACAAAGAGCAACGTCTGTTTGGTTATGCAGAGAGAGAAGCACGGTGCCGTTGCGAAGTTAGAAGTGAATGGTGAACCAACCGTGAACGGCGGTTGGTGTTGTCGCCTGTTGCTCCGGTTGCTGCACTTGCCTGGTCGGGGTCCGCTGCGGCAAAGCGACGGCGAAGACCAGGCAATCAGGCAAGGTGCACTTCGGAGGACAAACTGCGTGTACAGTAGTGATCCTGCAATGCCCATCGCCAAGTGCATAGGCGTTCATTTCATGCCTGTCGTATGTGGTGTGAATCTAAATTTGTGATAGAAAAGCATCCCTGGCGAAGCTGTTACTACCAGCAGGTGGTGACCTGGTCAGTACTACTGCTGTTCGGGCACCACATGTACCAATTCATGCATAATAGGAGTGCGCATGCCCACTGCTTTAACTGCTGTGGACTTGGTTTAACCGAACGGCGACCTGACTTGTCGCCTTGTTTCAGCTGGAACGTTATAGCACTGCTTCCTGTAACGGCACCATTAGTCCGGATTCTCGGAAGTGCTTCTCCTGAGAAAGAGCACAATTTGTACGTGACGGAACGCGCTTACGTAGGGCCGCGCAAACTGAACTACAGGCAGGTCAACCAAGGGAGAGTGAAATGTTGATAGTCAGCACCTACCTGGCGAGCAAAGCAATAACGGAAATTAAGACAAAAGAGGAAGGCGGCATAGCCAGGAAAGACCAGGTCACCAACTACTGCACACGACACACGCACACACGCACACACAAAAGATGAGACAAGATAACACCCCCCCCCCCCGGTGATAACATTAACATTTGGCTTTCAAGTAAAGACAAAAAGATGCTGCTGTATGTCGTGTGATAACAGTATCACGAGTGTGTTATTCTGCTGTGTTTCTCTCTGTGTGTGGGGTGCTATCTCGTGTAGCCCGGGTGATAAAGTGCAGGTCCCGGGAGCCATGGAGGGTGAATGATAACGAGGGGGTCGTGCCAACTGCCGCACACCTGTGCAGGGACGGAAAGGGTGTGGAAATGCTCGGGGGGTATTAGTGCCGGCAAAATAATCATCTATAGTGCCTGCAGCCACACAACCAGGGGACGTACATTAACCATTAACCCGGCCTTCGCACGCGGAGCCGCATTCACACTTACACTTGTCATCGTCTTCGGTCTACCTTCCTAACTACCGTAAGAGTCGGAGAGATGGCACCCCCGTATTAGCGTTTTTGTATAGCGTATTTCTCCACAACCAGGGGGGTACCACTGCCGAAAAGGGTAGTTTTGGAAACATCTCATCGAGGGCTTTCCTGAGAGGTACCGGTTGGTGTTCGCACTCTTCTAGTTGTGGAGAAATACGCTACAAAAAAACGCTAACACGGGAGTGCCATCTCTCCGACTCTTACGGTATCCGTCTACCGTCTACGTTCTCCAAGGCCAATATGCCCACAGCAGTCCTAAATTTGACCTTGAGCGTGGTCCCTGCATTCATGGGGGGATGTGATACTTCGATTCAGAACGTCGCTCATGACAAGGTGTGGCACCAGGGCGGTGCCAGTACTTGCTGTTTTTGATGTACAATACTCTATGGGCAATGCCAACTTGACATCAAGTGTTTTGTGTATTTTGTTCCTCCAACGGTGGCAAGAAAACGGCGATCCCATCGATTCAGTAGGCTGGGGAACATGTGACGAATCAGGTTCCCGGTTGGGTGATCAAATCACCTTCGGCTTACGGGCATCACCAAATCAGCCCGTAAACAGCGAGCACGAACCAAAACAAGGCACAAGTATGCATAGTGTTGCCCATGTTGTCGTTACCCTGGACGTGGCGATTAATATCTTTTTTACGCGCGATGTATGATACCCAACAGGAGGCACCGCCGCTGCTGACGGCAGGATGGTGTCTTTCGGCTCCTGCGTGTTGTTGCTGGAGGCGGGCGTGTTCCTTATCCTGGTGAGTGGGGTGGGTTAGTCATGTCGATGCACGCAAAATATGCACCATGCAAAATTAACACAAAACACACGCCGAAACGGCGTATGTATTGACAAGGACAACGTGTGTTATTGTGGAACGCCGCGGCGTGTGAAGGGAGCTATGTAGAAGCTACGCATGGTGTAGAAAACGAAAAGAAGACGTCTACATGTAATAGATGTATGCATGTGAAGTAGAACAAACAAAGCTCGTTGCCGAGTTTATCGTTCGACAACGGGGAGGGGAGGAACACCGACTCGCCTCCCCACCGCCTCCTCCGTCAGGCCGTCGTCTCCGGGTGGGAGTTCCACTGGAGCAGGCAGGAGTCGGCTGTCGCTCGGCACCAGGACCAGCGGGGGGGGGGGATGACCCTGCTGCAGGCGGAAGAGGAGGAGAGCAGCAACAACGGGACCAGAGCCCGTCACCAAACCAACTTCATCCTGGCCGGGGCTTGCACGGCCAAAGCGATCTCCCTCGGGGTAGTCTGGGGCACCGGCGGCTGGGTGCCCTTCACGGCCGTCTCGGACCTGCTCTACATCGCCCTGTTCGGCTCCCTGATTCTCCTGTACGTCGAGATGAGGAACATCTTGGCCGTCGCCAGCAGCCACCGAACGGTCAGGCTCGGGGTGTTCCTGAGCCTGGCGGGCGTTCTGGTGGTGTCTCTTGTCATCTGCACGGCGCGTTGGGCCGCCGACCCCGCTTCCAGGAAGTCCCTGGCGCTGAGAAAGTTCTTGTACCTGGAGCTGGGCATAACGTGAGCGTCGAGGAGGGAACAACGGGGGGGGGGGGGGGGGGG